AAAAATGGTGCAATTTCTCAATTAGAATTAAAATTAGGACGCCCTTTACTAAGATTGGTTCGGCAGCTTCACGCTAATGAGTTACCTCTTAGGCATATTTTTCAAAAGCTTGACAGTCAAACTCTATAGGTAATACAAAGAAATGTCTATTTTGTCCATTCCGTAAAACTTATATGTATGCTACATGACACCCGCCCCCATATAAGATAGCTTGCACTTCGCCGCATTCTAAATTCAAAAACTCAAGACAATCGTTCACGCAATATCCGACCTTTTATCATCCCACAAATTAATTTTGACGCAATAACTTGTCCCCCATTGTGCCAAACTTTGGAAGTAGATGATTTGAAAAATATTATTTTTAGTTCTTCTGAAACAATCATCGACATCGTTGCATTTAGTGCATTTTCCTGTCACACTCAATCAGTAGAGAGATGCATAAAACTTATAACCGAAGCATCTTTATCAGTTGTAGGCATACAAAAGAGAGATAGTTTTATAAAGACAAAAATAGACTCGCGCAAACTTATGCCACAATTTGAGTAAAAAAAAGACTACAATCAATAAGTGAGCAAAAATAAATGGATGAGGGAGGGTGGGATGGAACTCGCCGAGCAATTACCTCCCCGCTGTGAGTTCTGGGTTGTTTAACAATACGGAATACATAAAATATTGTTAAACAAGCTAAAAACTGCTCTAAGTGCACTGCTCGACACATTTTTAACTCTTTGTTAAAGTGTGTAAATATTAGGGTATTTATAAAAAAAATTGTTTGACCTTAAAATGTCATATTTCAATAAGATATATTATTCCTAATTACAAAAGTTACTTATTATCTGAAATTTTGGCTAAAAATCAAAATTTTATATTTTTGTATTTTTTACTTTTTTTAAAGCCCGGTAGAGGGCAGAAGATGAAAAAAAATTGAAAAACTATAAATAGATATTAGTTTTCTAATACCAATTGGCAACTTTTGTGCAGTATTCCAAAACGATTTTCAAAACTTCGATTTTTCGATCCACCCTAATATACACCTTTCATTACCAACTAATATAAGTTTAAAGAAGTTTCCTATATTGAGGTCTGAAAGATTAAGTAGTCTGAGAAACAAAAGCAGTACTGATATTGTTGGTTCCAATGTTAAAATTTAATTCATAAAAACATTATTAATATTATTTATCAAAAAACATTAACTTTGTAGCAAAACTAATCAATTGATATTCTAAAAAAAATAATATTTTCTACCTAATTCAAACAAGCAAAAGTAATTATTCTAATATTGAAAAAATGCTTTCAAAAGCGATATCTCATTCTATTGACGTACTTATATCACAATTTTATCGAAGATTATTAAAAAGTGTGTGGCGGATAGAACAGAAAAAATATTTAAAGGGAATCGAGAAGAAAATAGTCTCTTCTCCAACAATGATGTTGGCGTCTATCATAGAAAATGTCGTTGAGGCTGTTGAAGTTTTGGTTTGATTAACACAAGTTGCTTAAAAAATGTCTATACCTATGTGGCGGATTCATCTATCCAAAAAAATCCTTATGGGTTTTTCGCCACTGCACTGCAAGAAAAATCTACAAAATAAAATAGCGTTAAACCTAAACGGACGCTGCTTGTCAGAAGTTGTGTTTACAGTAATAAAAATTTGCCTAACAAAGAAAAAAATGCTTAACGTTTCGGAAAGTTTTCTCTTTCCGTCGTCGGAAGCAAAAAAATATAAAGAATCAAGAAAAAAACTATTTAAAATATTTAAATTGAACTATTCGAGAACACTTTACTTTTTAAAACAGATACGTCTACAAGAAATCGTTGACGTTCTGTTAAAAACCCATAAGGATTTTTTTGGATACAAGTTGCTTCTGATGTGATCTCAGTAAAGCACTTAAAGCATCAGATGCTGCTGCGCAAAGTTTGTCAATATTTTGATTTCAACAGTTTGGAACTAATAAAGTCCTACATAGAAAATAGAATACAACTTGTATGTATGGACAGAGTATTATCGGAAAGGGAATCTATGAAAGTGTGTGGAAAACACCTACAGTTTATGTGAACAATGTACCGTCAAATTCCATTTACCCTCTTTGTACAGATTCTGTCAATCACACAAATAAACGGCAGGATAGCAGGACACATTCTGTCAAGTGGTTCTGCCAAGTTCTTCCAACTGGGTGGCAAGTGGTTCTTTGTATAAAACGATGATAAGACAATAGCCCACATACAAAGAAGATTTGGCCTGCGGATATGGACTGCATGCAGACTTGGCCTGCAGATTAAATTTTTGCGTTTGTGGGCCAGGCCAAATCCGTGGCAGGTCAAGCCTTTGGCGAACCAATCCTGTCACAGGCCAAGTCCGCGGATGATGCACAGATAAATAAGAGGAGGGAGATGCTACTATACCGGGTGCGTCTCAAAAGTGGCTCACCCCTATAACTTTTTTATTTTTTCAGATAAAAAAACGAGATTTGGTATGTTAGTATATGACATAAATTAGGATTGATTGGTGTATTCAATTGTTTTTGGTCACTTCCTGTTACACCGGAAATGACTACCTACAACGTTTGATTTTTAAATGACACCCTCGGTATTTTTTTACTTTATTCGATAGAAAATGACATTCTGAATAGAATGACATATCATATGTCAACTTTTGACATTCTCGCTTAATAAAAAATGTTTTTTAAAATTAAATCTAGAGTGCCATGTGCATGTTAAAAATACTAATTCTTCATCAAGGAGCCTTGGAAAAATAGATTTGATCGTCTAATGTTTTTAGTGTCTTGTCCAGGCCAGTTAGAAAATGCTCAAATCGTATTTTTAATCGTATCTCAATTTTTTCAAATGGAACGGGGGTGGCTCATTAGCATATTTTCAAAAAGCATTTTTTTTACGAATAATTTAATATTGTCACTCTGAAGAGAATGACATATGATATGTCATTCTCTTCAGAATGACATTTTCTATCGAATAAAGTAAAAAAATACCGGGGGTGCCATTTAAAAATCAAAAGTTGTCCGGTGAAACCGGAAGTGACCGAAAACAATTGAATACCTAATCCTAATTTATGTCATATACTGACATACCAAATCTCGTTTTTTTAACTAAAAAAATAAAAAATTTAGAGGGGTGAGCCACTTTTGAGACGCACCCGGTATATATTTCTGTAGGATAAAAACGGTATCATTTTCGTTGTTTGGGCGGCGCCAAAAGTGAACTATTTGGACAGGACCGGATTAGGTAAAACTTCAAATAATAGAAGCAAACAATGATTAAAATTTGCCTTGAGCTAATGTAATATTTTTGTGTAATATTAATCGTGTGTATCGTAATGAACAAATTACTTGGCATTACTCCACCAAACTTAAAATAGACATAAAATAATAATTAATGTGCATTCGTTAATTCGGTCATTACGGACCTGCACGCTGTTTATGTTACTCCGGTGAGTTTCTTCGAATCGATACCTTTCCGATACAGCACACGACGCCATGGTTTTTAAAGTTTTTGTGATAGAAAACACTCAAATTATCGACGAAAATATCAAATTTTGGGAAAAATGCACATATGATAAAAACGACTCACAATCAAATATGGCTGGCGGCTAGGTGAACCTCTTATCGCAACAGCTGTAGCGCCTCCCCCCTCTTATTCCTCCGTGAACTGCTGTAAAACGTCGAATTTTGTTCCAAACGAGAATATTTAGCTGGACAAAGATCTATTCGGCAGGCCTTCGACCAAAATACGAAAGTTTTGGTACGTAACAGGCCAAATCAGCAGGGAAGATCCCAATATGGGGAGTAATGGCAAAGAAATATATTAAAGTTTAGTCTTTAAGATATTACCTTATGTGAGACGGAAAGATTGAAGACTGTAATCTAGAGATCACAGCGCCACAATAGATCTGAAAAGATTGTAGCAGAATAGTCCAAGAAAAATGTAATCTATTTTTATCCAACAAAGTCAAAATTTATTGCAGAGGATTTTTTTTCGAAATTTTATCTCGTTTTTTAAGCCTACAATTTTAAAACAACCGTTTTAATTGTTGATTTTACAGCAAAGTCGTTGATAGGTTTTCTAAAGGTCCGTGTATGATGAATACCAATGCCAAATTTGAACAGAGAAACTGCATCTATTTATACAGGTTGAGTCTTAAATAAATGCAAATATTTTCAGGGGCGGTATATTTCGACCCCAAGAACACGTTTATTAGGGTTTATTATAACCACCCTGTATATATTCAGTAGGTCTGAGAATAGGTTTGATTTGGCTATTTTTTATACCTTTTAGAGCGCTTTCACATACGCCGGCAAAATCGCTGCCGATGCCGAAGCTAAAATTGATTGCAATATAAATAAATTAGTTTTTTTAATCTTATATTAAATTAGCTTTATCACATATACTCCGATCAGGCAAAGTCGGTGCCGGCTTTCCCGATCGGTGCCTAATCCGGCGCCGGCTTTGCTCACGTTCAGACAGTTGTGTTTAATTCTATTATATTTGCCTGGTCCACGATTATTTTCCCGAAAGGAGCTAATTTATTTATATTGCAATCGATTTCAGGACCGGCACCGGCACCGGCACCGGCACCGATTTTGCCGGCGTGTGTGAGAGACAACTTTTAATCGGCATTAACCAGCTTAGACTATTTCGCTAACAAGAAAAAAAATCAGTGGCGTACGTGCTTTTTTTAGAAAAATATTCCCAGTGATAACCCATATGCATGTCCCTTGTGAATATGTTGACACTTTTTTAGCTTTAAAATATGTCGCATTTATAATAATTTTTACCTTCAAAATTTCATTCGAAACACCGAAAGTAGTCGGAAAAAATATTAAGACTTTAACACCCTGTAGATACTGAACAAAGCAAAATCAGATCTATGTTGATATGAAAAATAAATCTTATTTTTACGTGGGGAATCTCACCTGTATAAGTTTAATTAAAATATTTATGACGCCAAATCAATATATTTATATTTTGTTATTTTCTGTTTCAGTCTGCTTCAGTGAGTGTCATTTTAGACAATGAAAAGGTCAGTAGAGTATTTGGTTTATTGTTGCCTATCCTTTGTTTTATTGTTTTCCTAAACGTGGAGCCCTAACATTTTAAAATATTTTCATCTTAAAAAATGTGTTTATTTATGATGTTTTCTTAGTAAAAGTTTATTAAACCAATGAATATGAAATGAATCATTTTCAGAAATTATTCTTTTTACATAAATTATTTTAAAATGATGGGTCTTTGTGAGTTATTTCACTTCAATAAATCTTTTTGGGTATACTTAGCATAATGCCAGTTCTTATAGATAAAACAAAACTAAGAAGCTTTTGCACAAATCACGTTCTTGTATTTAATTATAATAGTAATTAGATTTACAATTGTCACAAACTACGAATTATAATATTGTAGATATTAGATGTAATATCGTACAATTTTGTTATTAGTTAGTAAAGAAAAAGTTAAGGAAGATATCGAGTCTTTTTAAAATAATAGTAATATTACTATAATTTATCTTACGGAGAACTACTTCACGTCGTGTTTTTGATTTTGGAAATTTATCTTATTTCACCTAATGAAAGGTATATTTTATAGTCCATTTTATATATAGCTACTTTATTTTCATTTCATGCTATTATTTGTGCAACTGATTTCCTAAAATATTCAATCTTTATTTCCTGTTTCTGTCAAAACCGCATGCAAATAAATGTTTTGTGTATTGTTGTCTGTTATAATCTGTAATACCAAAACAAAATGCACATTATCCATTGTTTATTATTAAAACAACGAATGCGCATTCGTTTTGAATATAGTCCAATTTAGCAACAAACAGGTGTATATCATATAATATTAACTTATGTTTGAGATATAAAAAAATCTCAGATAAATTTATTCCTTAAGAATATGTATTGTAGAGCTGGTATATGCTTATGTATGCATGTACAAATCATAACTATAAATGTTTAATGTTTTTGAAACTACAGTTATAAATGTACATTAGGCAACAAAATTTATAAATACTCTATTGATTTCTTTCCTCTGTAGATAGTTGTTGTAGTCATAAGTATTAACATTAAACTAAAATCCATACATATCTTGAACAGTAAAATTTTTTTGCGTACTAATCAAATATACTCAAATATGATATTTGACAGAAATTATTAGACGGCATGTTACATTATTATAAGAGGATTGATAATGATAATGAAACTTTTGAAATTAAGTTATGTGAATATTATTACTTAAAATGGAATATATAACTTAAAAACAATTGCTTATATTTTTCTGATTTTCTACTACACTATTGATATTAACTTAACTATTACACTAAATACCATACGATCGAAAAAAAACGGCGTCAGCGATGGCTATGAAATAAAGATCGCTGTCATTTTATATGTAGATATAAGTGGAATGTCAACGATCGTCATCTCCAAGATACTGAACAAAGGAAAATCAGATCTATATATCTTTATACAAATAATATATTAATACCGTCACATACTATGCGATTGAAAAAAGTCTTCAGAATTGGCTTTAAGTTACATTAGAAATGACAATCGATTACATTCTGTAAGTTATATGATGATTGTTATTGACAGTCATTTTTAAGCCATTTTATCGCCGTTTTTTCGCTAGATCGTTTGCGTACTTTTGGAAATTTTTGACTATAAAAACACGTTATCATCATCCAAATTATAAAAAAAAATCTTTAACCGGTTATTTCTACTTTAAAAAAACAATGGCTATTTCCGGAAAGTGAATGTAGGTTTCGCTAGTGTAGCAAAACATTCTACGAATTTGTAATATGATTTAACTTCTAAAATTATATAATAATATCAATAAAACAAAAGAATCGGTAGGTATGTCCAATGTATAGCTGCTTGCACTCTAAGCATGGCATGTTATAGATTTTTATTTTCAAGGACATTTTATCTTCAGGACTTCCAATATCTTTTCACTTATTACTAGGTTATAGGTATGAGGTTTGAAAGTAGTTAAAGTTCGGAGCTTTTGAGGATATACGGTCAAATAGATTCTCTCCCATTTCAATTGACTTACATATACCGGGTGCGTCTCAAAAGTGGCTCACCCCTGGAAATAAAACAACGAGATTTGGCATGTTAATATATGACATAAATTAGGATTGATTGACATATTCATGATACACAGAATACAAGGTATGATATTGCGCAGGTTGGTCACTACGTCACAGGCGATAAACGGCACCATTGGTCGGCAAGCTCTGCGCGCCAATTTCAAATTGTGAAACAGATTGTGTCATCTGTGAAATTTGATTGTGTCAAAATGTGAAAATAATTTTTCAAATGTCAAGCTCGATGTCAAAACATAACTTTTGGGGTTATGTCCTAATTCTTCCCTATTTTATAGGTCTTTTTTTATTAGTAGCAATCTTTGAATAAGAAGACTAAGGAAGGAGCATATCAAAAATCTTAGGTACACCGCGATGGGCCTCAAACATGGCCGACTTAAATTCCGGTTTATCAGTGCCGTTCTAATTTTATTTAAAAAATGTTAAACTATGATGTAGGGTAGACGTGGGGTAGACTCAATAATTTGTTGTTTTATTTTACGTTGCGAATAAATGTTGATAGTTATTAAAATTGTTATAAAAATATATAATTTTAATAAAAATAATAAATGTTGATAGTTATTAAAATTGTTATAAAAATATATAATTTTAATAAAAATAGATAAGTTATAATAAGTATTTATTAACACAAACATCCGATACGCTACTGGAGCAGGTAAGTCAAATTAACGTATCAAAATTCTTTGACATCTGATCTTTGACAAGTAGTAAATAAAAGCTAAAATGCAAGAAAAATATATAATTTAGTTAATTTAAGTGAATTTCATAAATGATCGGTTTACTACACGTATGTATATTATATAGTCACTTACTAGCGAAAAGTTGTTCCATTATTTTTCACTCAATTTTTGCCGAGATCTACCGCACGCTACACAACCAACTATTTTAGAGTCTTTTTCGATAAATCGCGATAGTGTCACTGTTAATTTAAGTTCTGCCACAATTTCCATCTAGATTTACTACCTTTATACAACTATCAGTAGTAGAATAAATAATAAATAAAATAAAATAAGCTCCGTAAAAACTGACAAATCCACAAAATTTCAAATCAAATTCAAATGTGTCAAATGAATCGTCAAACAGAACTGTCAAGGATCCCCACCCTAGAGTCCTTTTTCCGCCCACCATGCTTGAATACATGGATAGCATTATGCTCCTTCCTTAGTCTTCTTATTCAAAGGTGGCAATTGAACAATATGGATATTTTTTTGTATGGCGTATGACGTCACAGGTGGTATACGCAAACTTAACGAAATTGGAGCCGCTATCGATCATACCTTGTTTTCTTTGTACCATGGACAGAATATTCAATTGTTTTCGGTCACTTTCGGTTTTACCGGAAATGACTACAACTTTTGTTTTTTAAATGGCACCCCCAGTATTTTTTTCCCTTATTCGATAGATAATGACACCCAGAATAGAATGACATATCATGTGTCAACTTTTGACAATTTCGCATATGGTTTATTTGAAATTGTAACCTGCGGTTCATAACGACAATTTGACTCGAAATACCAAGTGTGTGGTATCAAATTATTCGTAAAAAAATGCTTTTTCCAAATATGCTAATGAGTCACCCTCGTTCCATTTGAAAATAATGATATATGATTAAAAATACGATTTGGACATCTTTTAACCGGCCAGGACAAGACACAAAAACATTAGACGATCAAATATATTTTTCCAAGATTCCTCGATTAAAAATTAGTGTTTTTAACACAGCCATGGCACTCTAGATTCAAATTTAAACTACAATTTGTTTTTGAGCGAATATGTCAAAATTTGACATATGATATCGTCGGTGAAATGTGATAAACGGCTAACTCCATTATTCCTAATTTTACAGGAGAGAAAAAAACGGTACAAAAAAATAGGTACACATGTAGGAAGAAGTTAATATGATAAAGAAACAACATGCGTTAATATGATAAAGAAATAAGCATTTTATTTGCTGGGGAACAATAAAACTCAATATTTCGTGTTACTTAATTTTTTTCAGACACAATAGGGAGATAGCAGATATTCGTCTTGCAGAAATAAGAAATAAAAATATATAGGATATGCTATATCTGGATATAGCAACCTTTATTTTTTGAAATTTTGAAAATGGAATTGAATATTACCCAAACAGATTTAGAAATCATCAATTAAATTTAAAAAATATGATATTCATAACCATATATTTATAATATCGTCGATCTAGAAGCAAAACATACAAGTCCAAAAACGAATAAATTTTTAATGCATTTTTAAAGAACTGAACTTTTGGACTTAATGAATATGAAAATAATTTAAAAATTAAACTTATAATTCTTAGAAGATAAATTCCCAAATAAGAATAAAATTTCCAAATTTTCAAAAAAAAATTCGCTCAAAAAACCTCAAAATCGTGTTTCTTGTGTCGAAATATACTACCCCTAAAAATATTTGCACTTATTTAATACTCACCCTGTATATAATAGGGAAAAATTGACTAAATCGTAAGGCGAAAAAATACGCAAAAATTCCACACGGGTCCCTCCTTACATCGCCACCCGAGCCCCGTTGGCCTAGTGCGACCCTGGATCGACGTACCGTACTAAAGAAACATACGAGTAAGAATCCGTGTGTTTGTTTTAGCGTGATCGTAACGGAAATTACGGAGATAGCAGCATTTCGGTGGCTATTTTAGATCACTGGGAGTTAGCAATTGAGTTAAAATAGCAAATTTTCTTTAATGGGAAAAATGTATTTGCTTTCCCTACTTATAGAGTATTTTTTTTTCTTTCTAATGGTATAAATGAACGTATTAACATAAAAAATGGAGTTAGCATGTTATCACGTTTCACTGACGATATGTCATTCGATTCAGAGTGTCATTTCCTATCGAATAAAGTAAAAAAATACCGAGGGTGCCATTTAAAAATTAAAAGTTGTAGAAAGTGACCGAAAACAATTGAAAACCGCGAATCAATTCTAATTTATGTCATATTATACTAATATACCAAATCAAAAAAACAAACTATTTTATTAATAATAACACTTACCAAATTTTATACCTTAAAGGTTGATTAATTAACTTTAATCTTAATTTTTTTAAACCAGTACCTTTTGACATTATTTTTCTGCAGTACTAATATCTATTATTTACCTATCGTGTGATGTCGATATTTTACAGCTACTCCAGTTTTTAGTATATGTTTAGTACGATCCTTGTACCATATGCCACAAGATGCACTTATCTACGACGAGATGGTATACAAACTTTATTGATAGTAACTTTATTGGTGTATTAACACTTTCTGCCTGGGCAGCGAGTATTAATTATAAACTGTGCTCTGGGTCTACAATTAATTTTCCCTCCATTTTTCCTGCAGTTTACTTCAAAAGACAAAAAACACACGTAATAACACAAATCAAAATGCATCATCTTCCAAAACGCAGGGTATTTGACATAAGTTGACACAAAATTATAACCTATAATTTGGCAAGACTTTGACAAGCCTCAAAAATCTAAAGGCGAGTTCATACGCATTGGCGTCCGTTTATCGTTCATCGTTCCGTCAAACCAATAAAATTGAAATATAATCTGTCATTTTTGAAATAAACCAATAAAACTGGTTAAAAACAACAAGAGACGACTCATGACGGATTTATATTTAAACCCATCCATAGTTAACTTAAAAAATGTTAAAAACTTTTTTTATAATAAATAGATCGGTATGGCACGTCATCTGCTTTTCTTCTGTCATCGTCTGTCGAAATCTTACCTGAGAAAAAAAACAGAGTATATCCAAAAACTTTACTGAATATGATATTTTTGTAGCTCTACTCATAAACGAGAAACCGTGTAAAACACATTAAAATGGGACACCCTGTACTTAGTCTTACTACTAGAGTTCTTCGGAAATATCATTAAAGTAATCATTATTATGAAAAAATGCGAGTTTAATAATCAGCTAAGTTTTATTTTTATTGCCACACAAGTTTAGATATTATTTGATTCGATTTCTGTTCAATCCGCCATTTTTTTATCGTCGATTTCCAATGCTCCCTGTTTCCTATAAAATTCAGCTGTTGCCTGCGATCTCTTGAAAGCCGTTTCGACTTCGTCGTAAGGAATCAGAGTGGATTTTCCATAATTGAGTGACGTAAGAGACGGAACAGGTTTGGTACTTTCCTGAATAAATTAGAAAGTCGATTTTGAGATTTCGAGGGCAGACTATAAGGTTTTTATTGACTTTTATCTAAACTTGCGCTTTATCAAAATTAGAGCGAGTTGCCTACAAAAACGTATTTATTAAAAAAGTATTATACCAGTGGGTATTTCGCCACTAATACTGTAGAAAACCTACAAAATAAAGTGGTTATTTATTGTAAACACTGCTGCGTTAATCCAACGGAGACCAATCGTCAGTAGTGACACTAATAAACATTTTTTTAGCCTAACGGACAAAAAATGCTTAACGTTTCGGGAAGTATACCTCTTCCCTTAGCCAAAAACGATAAAAACATATTAAAAAAATTGTGTGTCTACTATGTGCGCATATTTGAAGTGAAACTTCTTACTTCCGTCTGTCTGTCCGTCTGCCCATCTGTTCGTCTGAGGACTCCATTCGGGTACCCCTATCCACGTGCCGAGTTTGGTTCCAATCGACCCATAATTGAGAAAAATTCTGATGATTTCGTCCATTTAGAGGCATCGGTTCGAAACGTTGAGGGCTTCATCCTGTAGCCCGTCTCCAATTATGCCAAAATCGACCCACATTTTTCTTCAATATCAATTCCTTAGTCCCACCCTGATGAAGATGTAAACGAAATGTCATATCCAACTTTGCAGGGTGGGACCGTGTGCACCGTCGCGTCGTTCACATAGCCTACCCACCAAATTTGGTCGCGATCGGACGACTTCTCCTTTTGACGATTCTTACGTCAAAACTACCTATCACAGTGACATACCAAATTCCATTTAAATCGGAAGATTTTTTGATTTGATTCATTGACGATGGGGTTTTGTAGTGCACGAAACGTCGTCAAAATATCACGAAAAGATGGGGCTCTTCGAGCTACATATACATACATACATACAGCCGTTACTCGATGACGAGTATTCGACACACATAAAAAAGATGGTCAAGCAAGGCGTTTTCTTTCAAGAGCTTTTCTATGACTGAAAAGCCCGAGACGTGATGTTATCTGCCTATCGCACTCCGGACATTCAAAAATCTCATTGCTTTGTTTCCTCTTTACTTTTTGGTTGCCGCTGTTAACTGAGTTTACAACCATTCTCCATTGAGTTCTATTGTGAGCTGCTTTTTCCCACTCATTCTGCATGTTAATTCCCTTTAAATTTTCGTGGCAAATGTCCTTGTACCTTTTTAGTTGTCCACCCGGCCTCCTCTTACCGTCTACAAGCTCACCGTAAAGCAGAGATTTTGGTATGCGGTTTTCTTGCATTCTGCATACGTGACCAGCCCATCTTAAGCGGGATTTTGTGACCATAACTTTAATACTATCGCAGTTAGCTTTTTCAAGGACCGATACGTTTGAGACATGATGGAATCACCGGACTCTTAAGAGTTGTCTAAGGTGTCTCTGTTGCAACTTGTTTAATGCGTTCATGTGTCGGCCGCAAGGCCACCCAGGTTTCGCTCCCATATAACATGGTGGGGATTATAATTGCTCGGTATACTGCAAGTTTTATTTTTGTACTCAAGTCATGATTGTAGAAAACCCTGTCTTTTAATTTCCAGAATGCTCTTGAGGCGCTACTAATCCTGTGCTGAATTTCAGAGTCAATATTGGCCTTTTCCGAAATCAAACTGCCAAGATAATTGAATTCCGGCACATATTCCAATAGTTCTTCTCCGATTTTTATAGCATTTTTGTGATCTTTCGGGGGAGTGCACATGATTTTAATTTTGTCGATGTTTAGCTTAAGGCCCAAAGCCTCGTATGCCCAGGTTTATGTGTTTAACATTTCTTGTAATTGTTGTACCGTGTTTGCAACTAGAGCGCAGTCGTCAGCGTATTGAAGTTCTGTGATAAACTTTGTACGTGTTTTTGCCCTGAGTCTTTTTATGTTGAACAGACCGCCGTCATATCTGTATCTAATGCCCAATCCTTCTCCTGTAGTTTGCTGTCCACTATAATGGAGAGCGCTGCCATGAATATGTTGAATAGGAGAGGCGCTAAGACACATCCATGCCTAACTCCTGTATTTGTTAGGAATGGGTCGCTCAGTGATCCATGATGTGACACTCTTGACTTGTTGTTATGGAGGCTTTTACACACTGTAAGAAATTTGTTGGGTACTCCGAACTTTTTCATAATTGCCCAAAGCGCATCTCTGTTCACAGAAGGCTTTTGTTAGATCGATGAATGCAACATAAAGTTTAGACTGCTGCCCTTTTACTTTTTCCTGTAGTTGACGGATGGAAAATATGGAATCGACGGTGCCGCGGTTGGTACGAAAACCCGTTTGCGATTCTGGAAGAATTTTTTCTATATATGGGTGCAGGCGGTTTGACATTATTTTTCGCAAAAATTTTTCCGCCGATAGCCAATAGCGAAATTCTCCGGTAATTTCCGCAGTCTGATGCACTTCCTTTGTTCTTAAATATATTCACGATATTCGCGTTGCGAAAGTCCTGAGGTACCTCTCCGCTTTCCCATACGACATCGAAGAGAGCCTTAAGATGACCAATAAGTTCTTTACTTGCACACTTATAGATTTTCGCCGGAATCGCGTCACAGCCAGCTGATTTGTTGTTTTTTATGGAGGTCTTTATTTCTTGTTCTGTTATTGGGATGTCTAATACATCGAGGCTAATACATCGAGCCACATCTACATTCCGAGTTTCAGCCCCATAGCTCACATAGGGCTAGAATTACGACGCTCCATACTGCCATCACAGGAAGTGAAATATCTGGGAATAACCCTGGATAGTAAACTTCTCTGGAACAGGCATATTAAGAACATTACCAGCAAAGCCACAAAGGCTTTCATGATATGCAGAAGACTGGCGGGAAATAGGTGGGGCTGCGCCCCTAACATTTTACGCAGGATGTATACCATGATAGTAAGACCCATGATTACTTATGGAGCAGTTGCTTGGTATACAAAACTAGAGCAACGTACAGCGAGGCAAAACCTGTGCAAAGTACGGAGACTGGCATGTCTCTGCATCATAGGTGCCATGAGAACATGTCCAACAGCAGCAATGGAGGTCATTCTAGACCTAACACCACTGCACATTGTCGTCGGTAGTTGTGCCAATGCGACAATGATTAGAATGGTCATTGACGGAAACGGTACTGGGAGAATTTTCAGGTCAGGGGCTTGGAACACCCTCAAAAAGAAAATTCCACTTCTCCAACTCCCAGTGGATAACATACCAAGAATTTACAACTTTGAGAAACACCTCACTGTAGTATTGAGTAATAAAAAGGATTGGGGGAAGAAAGAAACGCTTACCCAGCATATAAAAGACCATACCATCACGTGGTATACTCATGCTTCCAAAACCAAAGCAGGGACAGGGATAGGAGTATTTGGGCCGAAAACTAAATACTCCGAACCAATGGGCACCTACCCCAGTATCCTTCAAGCAGAAATTTGCGCTATCGAAAGATACGTACAATTTATCTTAGATAGGAACTATCGAAAACAGGAAATTGCCATCCTATCCGATAGTCAAGCAGCACTTAACGCGATCAACTCAGTAACCATCAATTCGAAGTTGGTCAAAGAATGCCTAGAGAAGCTCAACAAATTAGGCAAAGAAAATAAAGTCCTCCTACTCTGGGTGCCTGCTCACCAAGGGATAGAAGGCAATGAAAAAGCAAATGATCTAGCTAGAAAAGGACCAAACACTCCACTAACTGGACCAGAACCGTTCTGTTTTCCAAACGGGAACCAACTGAAAGCGGAACTGAAGAATCTGGAAGACTCCATCCGTAACTTGGAATGGGTGTCCTCCAACGGTCTAAGACACTCGAAAAAGTTCCTCAGAACTTATGAGACCGAGAAAAATCAAAGGTTCTCCTTGATTTAAGTAAAAAAATCTTCGGATTGTCACGGGGTTTCTAACAGGACACTGTCTCCTCAACGAACACCTCAGTAGGTTGAAACTGAGAAACAACGGCGAATGCAGATTTTGTGGGGAAAATGGGGAAACACCAAAACACCTTATCACTGAGTGCGCCGAGACGACGACCATTCGTGCCATAAACCTTGGTACGTCTGATGTTTAGGATGGAGAGCTGGCCTCTATGGAGCCGTCTCAGATATTGGCTTTTGTTAAAGCCCTGAGACTGTATGATGAGGTATAACTCGTTATAACTCAAGAAAGGGGAACACACAATAGATCTATAAGGTCGCGGTGATTAACTCCCCTCCCTAAACATTCTACATTCTACGACGCTCCAAGATTGTTACCATTTTTGTGACGCTTGGCGTGATGCTTGACGACCTTGGCGTGACGCTTCGCGTAACGCTAGCTCGTGTGTCGCGGCCTTGAATATTTACTCCCATCGCGTGTAAAGAAGTTTCACTTTAAGAATAAACATAAAGAAAGTTTGAGGCATATCTCATTAAATAATTATTAACAGGTAGTAGTACTAGTAGCACCGCCCCCCCCCCCCCCACACACTTATGTGGGGGGGGGCGGTAACCTAACCCCCCCTCCCCGTAGTCTCCGTTGGATTAACGCAGCCAGTATGTATTTACAAAAAATAACTATTTTATTTTGTAGATTTTCTTACAGTAGTGTGGCAAAATTTTTTTGAAGAAACGGATTTATTATCTCTCAAAGAAATCCAAGAAAATCGTTGTTTTAATGACCCAAAAATAATTAAAGTTTTTTTATATGTTTGGATGTAGGTCAGAATAAAACTCAGATTTTTTTATATAGCGCTTAGTGGACGCTTCGATAAATATCTAGTCTTCCTCAGGACTACATTTATTAAAAGTCCTTTGTCAGATTTCTTAAATATATTTCCATATGGGCAATACATCGACGACCTTTTTTTTTCACTTCGTCAGAACCAAATTTTGGCAAAATCTAATATTTCGAAATTGACCTTTCGAAGGAAATCAGCAAAATAGTCCAATTTTTCGAAATAAGATACTGTTTTCTATAGTTCCCAAAATTTTAAATTTTGACAAAATTTGGCTCT